CCCCCTTCCCCCGCCCCGCCGCGCCTGTTTGTTTTAGGCTGTAACTTTTCATTTTCGTCCTCGTTTTTATTTTTATTTTTTTGGGGGAGAACCGTTTTTTGGGGACTACGGGTCGCACGCCGGTGGGTACCCCGCGCGACGCGGCGCGTTAACGGCTCCGTCGAATTCTTCAAGCAGGGAGAGGTACTGGTGGTTGTGTGGCGGTCTTTTCTCATTTAAAAACGCATAAACAATGCTATTTTCATTTACACGAATCCAAAGAAAAGGACCCAAAAACAAAAAAGTCACAGGCCTGACATCGACATCGGGACAGTACAGGCTGTGCACCCACTGGTCGCGGTACATCTGCATGCGACCTTCCTGCCGGCCTGTTCGCAGTCTCCCACGGAAATCTCAATATTTTCTAGTTCTGCACAAAACAATAGCAAGGCGCGAAGCTTCAAAAACAGCGCCCCCCTAAAAAAACCATACAATTAAAGATTCGCGCCCACACAAAGTGGCCAACTAAATGGCCAACAAAAGAATTTTAAAAAATTATACTGGCCCATGGGCAGCTTCCTCCATGAAAACAAAGAGAATCGACACTAGCAGTCAACACTCAACATGATCAACGACTGACCTTTGTCACAGACAGCCGCACGTGATAAAAAAACACAGAGCACAAGGCTTAGCGTAAATTGGACCTAGTCGGTCCTGGCTCCAGGGGCCATGCTAATCTTCTCTGTATCCTTCCAGTTTTAACGGATCTCCGAAGGTTAGCTTCATCTTTTTCGAACGTTTTATATGGTGCCACTATTCGGACATGCGTTATCTTCTCTGTGCTCTCTCAATTTTAACAGACATCCTGAAGGGGTCGACAAGTCATCATCAACATTGGTGCCGATGGACTTAAGGAGCTGCCAACTGGCAATGAATGGACTCAGTAGCGAGTTTTTTTTTTTTTTTTTTTTTTTTTTGGGGGGGGGAAGGGGTGGGGTAAGGGGGGGGAATTAGCGAGTCTTCATCGTGCCACAACTGGCCAGACTGCATGGGCTGCATGGCAAGGTCCAAAAATGGATAGTCAGTTTTCAGAAGAAGGAAAAAAAAGAAAAAAATTGGCGTCAAAGTCAGAGAGTGAAGCCGAGGTCCCTCATCGCTAGGGAAAAGAAGGAACAACAAAACGGTGAGGCTGGGTAGCACACAGTACGTCTACACGGGTTTCCCATGCACGAGTACACGGATATGTGACAGTATTTTTATTTTTATTTTTATAATTGAACTTTTAATTTTTGTTTCTGTTAAAGTCCAGGGTGTTGTAGAGGGTGGGCACGGAGCCATGAGATGTATCTTTCAGCAGCCAGCCTGGCTGGATATCGAGGCTACCTCCCGCCCCACCTCTTGATTCTTTCATCCCTAGCTGATCCCTACTCCTTTAGTCATGATTTTTTACTTGAGTTAGGGTTAGGAATTTTGAGATGCCTACCCCCAGATCAAGAAATCCACACCATTGGAGACGACACAGCGAGGCAGGCCAAGACTGGTAAACTCTACAAAAGAGTTATCTGGCCCAGCAACCCATTCATTCTCCCTTTCATGGTCTAGTGCCAGAGTGCTCCTGGGAGACATAATCAAGGAAGGAGGCTGGCACGAGCAAGAGAAAGACAGTGCCAGCGCAGGATGAGAGAGAGAGAGAGAGAGAGAGAGAGAGAGAGAGAGAGAGAGAGAGAGAGAGAGAGAGAGAGAGAGAGAGAGAGATTTGTCTCAACTCGAAACTCACAGGCACAGACAAAGCGTCATTGACGAGTACCCAAAAATAAAGGAGAAGGATCTAAGAGAAAAAAAGTGATAAAAAAGAGGGCAACAACAAGCAATGGAGATTACTGAAACGGTATTCACCTGTTAGCAGTAGCGAATGCAGATCCCAGGGCTTGATCCCTAGTTCTTACCTTACCTGTGTACAGTACCTGTGTCGACCCCGAGAGTTGTACCCATGACCTGTGTAGTCGCAACAGTTGGTAGGCTGTCGTAGGTCCGTAGGTGATAGGGGTTCGATCTGTACACCTGTCGAGCAGAGGTCTTAGCAAGTTCTAGAAGTCGTAGTTGTAGCCCTTCTGAAAGGTCAAGTTCGTAGCTGCTACAGTTCTGAAAGGTCAAGGTCGTAGCTGCTACAGTGTCGAAGGGCCAAGTCCACAGACTTCCGGAAGGTCCGGAAGTGGCCCTTCCAACGTTGCTCACAGTAGACTGGAGGCAAGTGGGCAAGTGGTGAAGTCCACCCTTGCTGAGTCAGCGGTACCGGTCCCAGTCAGTCCGAGTCCAGTCAAGCAAGTACCGTATGGGACTGTGTGCACCAAGGGCATGGGAAAGGGGCAGACCAACGAGTTACAGAAACATAAATCAAGAAGCAGCGCCCAGCCATTCACTCATTCCTGCGTAAGCCATGCGGAAATGCTGCTTCAGCGACATGTGCGAGGTGGTCTGCAGAGTGCCCGAAGACGAAGTGGGCTGAAGGGATAGTTAGCCATAGTTAGTGAGAGTCAGCGGCCATAGTTGCCATAGTTGATAGACGAGTGTGTTAGTAGTAGTGTGTATGTGTGCGTGTGGGATATCCAGGGTGATCCGGAGTTGAGTAAGTGTGAACAGTGGTGTTGAACAGAGAGACGAGAGTTGGGGTGTACAGGCACCGATGCGCCATAGCCTGTTGAAGCGAGCTTGTATCTGAACTGTGTTTTCGACTTCCATATCTCTGAGCTTTGAGTGGGTGCTGTGCGCCAGTGTGTCTCACCATCTGTTTGCATGAGTGCAGAGTGGAAAAGAAAGCGAGTCTGATTGCATTGGTATCGGAGCTGGTACCCGCTATCTCACGCGCCATTGTTGTCCGCGGTATGCCGAAGTTGGGCGCCATAGCTTAAGTGCGTCGTAGCTGAAGTTCGCTGTCACTGAAGAAGAAGTCCGCCATAGCTGTGCTGGTGGAGGAAGGTGTCGCATATCTGCAAAGAAGACAACGAAGAGAGAGAGAGAGAGAGAGAGAGAGAGAGAGAGAGAGAGAGAGAGAGAGAGAGAGAGAGAGAGAGAGAGAGAGAGANGAAGAGAGAGAGAGAGAGAGAGAGAGAGAGAGAGAGAGAGAGAGAGAGAGAGAGAGAGAGAGAGAGAGAGAGAGAGAGAGAAGAGATACAAGATTGGTTGTGCGGTCCAAGAAGGAAGAAAGCGGCCATGGCCGCGGAGCTCAGACACGGAGAAAGGAGGCAAGAAGACGAACAGGAGAGAAGGAGGGAGAGGCGAAAGAGAAGAGAGAAGCTATAGTTGAGGAAGAGGAAGGAGGGACGAAGAAGAAGAGGGAAGACATAGCCAGGGTGAAGGAAGAGTAAGGCGAGGTAGGAGAAAGAAAGGAGGAAGAAGAAGAAGGGTGGTGAGGAAGAAGAAGGTGGCAGCCATAGCCGAGTTGGAGGTTGACCAAGGCGTTGACCACGAGGTTGACCGAAGTTGATTTGAGTTTTGACCAAGGCGTTGACCAAGGTTGACTGGAGCGTCGACCGGGGGGTTGACCAAGCATTGACCAAGGTTGTTGGCTGCAACTTTGACCAAGCTGGAATTGGTATATTCTCGCCAAGCCCTTAGCCTATCCCCTCGCCCTATGGATGTGCACTCAGCCTATAGTACTTGCTGAGTTTGTCTGTCTCTTCTTTCTGCATCGAGTCTCTTCTGTCTAGGTGATAGGAACTCCGTGTATGAAGGATAGGGTCTTGTTGACCAAACCCACACGGGCTGAGTAGGGCTAAAGGCTGTGTTTGACGACTCGACTGTCCCGGAGGACATGAACCCTCCCAAGGACCGGTACTGACCGGTGGGCTGCTCGGTGTGGCACAATAGGCCCAAAATCCGAGCTGTGGGCTGCACAACAGGTTGTCTAAGTCTTGAGAGGACTTTCTGATCGCGCCGTCCTGTCTGCAACGTTGAATAATTTCTGAGGAGTTACGGGGGATCTCCTTAAATGCCTCTTGATCAGCAACAAGTCCTGTAGTGACAGCCATAGTTTAGGTCCAGGCTAGAGACCCTAGTTGACAGGATCCTACTGGGGTTCTGTGGTCCTTTAGATTGAGTCTAGGTCTAGTCAGTCGGGTGTCGAGGTCTAAGTGGTGAGGTTTGGAACCGTTGTCCAGTTGTGCGCTTATCACCATGGTTGATACTCGCAATGGGAAGAGCACCATGTCGTATAGTAAGGCTCAAGAGCAGCAGGTTGCCGCCTTCCTAAGAGAGAGAAGGGAGAAGAAGGAGCTCCTTAGGCAGGCAAAGATGAAGATGATAGTCGAGGAGCAGGCGGCGAAGAAGAAGAAGTTGGAGGAGGAGATGCAAAGATAGCAGCACGAGGAGGAAGAGAGAATGAGAGTTGCAAAGGAGGAAGAGGTTGAAGAGGAGCAGCAGCCAGAAGAAGAGCCTCTCAGACAAAGAAGATTGGGGCAAGGAGCAGAGCAGTGGCACCACTGGCACGAAAGAAGATGACCCGTGGGTGGAAAGGAGGATAAGTGAGTGGGTGGCTAATTTATCTCTGGGAGAGGACGAAGAGGCGATGTTGTATATACCTCAGGAGGAGAAGGAAGCCGCAATCAGGGAGATTGAGGCAACAAGTGATCCCCTAGAACGTCAGGCTATAGAGAATGAGAAGAGGTTGGACTGGAAGTTGCGACTGGCACGGGAGAAGAAGAGGAGAACGGAGGAAGCCAACAAGATGGCCAGAGAGGTGGAAAGTTTACAGACGCGTAAACAAGAAGTAGAGGCCCAACCTGACATCCAGGCTAAGTTAGATAAGATCCTTGGGAGCATCGAGCTCCTAGGCAGGGCTTGGAGCAAACACCATCAGTCTGTTAGGGGCCAAGACATAGCCCTCCACTCCATCCATTCTGGTTTTAGGGACTTCGCGCGCGACGTTATGACTCATGTCGGGACCGAAGTTAAGCAGTTCAGGGACAGCGCAGAGAAATTATGCGCAGGCGCCATTAAAGGTGCCAAAGTAGTGATCGTTGCAGAGAGTGAAGGGTATCCCCGCAAAGAGTCTGTCAAGCTCAAGTTTCCTGACTCTTATGGTGTGAAAAAGGACGAAAACTTTGATAATTGGGAGACCAGTATCAACACGTACATGTACTTGCAGCATATTGCACCAGAGGAACAAGTCCTTGTGGCCTTCCACGCATTGAAAGATGAAGCGGCCAGTTTTGCTAGGTCCCTCGTGCGAGCAGCCGATTGTGAACACAATATGGTTGCATACTCTAAACTCACCCCTCTTCACACCTTCCTCAAACTCCTGAGAGAGAGGTTCGTTGACGTCACGCGAGGCGTCAGGGCCTCAGACAAACTGCAAACAATCCACTCACGGCAGTGGAAGAGTGCGAGAGCACTCAAGGCAGTTATGGATGATCTGGTAGCCATCCCAGACCATGGGGTCACTGAGACCCAGTCAGTTAACTTATTTTATTGTGCCATGCCAGAGCCCTTACGAGGGCATTTCTTTGAGAAAACCCAACAGGCCACCACCACGTATGACGCGTTGAGTAGAGAGGTGGTCCTGTTCGAGGCTAAATCCATGTCAGTTTCCACTTTCTGGCATAAGGATTTAGACAAGGGAAAGAAGTGGAAAGGTCGTACCATCTCGGGTCAAGTCAGGGCGAAGGATCACCTGATCCTTACTTTAGATGAGGGTGGTACTAACGAAGTCCCCTACAGTCAAACAAAGTGGGGGCTGGAGGAGGAAGATAGTAGTGTCGATCAAGGCAGGACTAACACTGTTGTCGCGGCTGAAGGGAGGCTGCAAGGTAAAGGAGGAGGTCACGGCCAAGGGGGTCGGGTCATGGGTGGTCGAGGTCCGGGTGCATAGGGGGTTGGCGGCCAAAGGAACCGCCAAGAGGGAGGTAAGGGTCAAGTCCCCCCCCCGAATCGCTCAGGGTCCAGTCGATCACCACAGCGCAGAGGTGGCGGATCACCTTAGAGGAGAGGAGGTTGGCACCCAGGTTGGCCACAGGGCTGGCCTTCGGAAGATTTGGGCTTGGACCAGAGAGTTTGGCAACAGCGGATGGAGCAGGGGCAGTGCATTTACTGCAGCAACCCTGCCCATATCATTAAATATTGTCCGAAGTATAGGGAACCTCGATTCGCTGCCCAGGGGTCAAAAGGCAGCCGTTGGTAGGGGTTGGAACTGCCCTTACCATTAGGCCATGTGGGGAAGTGTGCGCGCACAACCAGAAAACTCCCTCACCGCATGAGCCTATGGAAGAGGTTGTCGGCCAGTGCCTGGTCAGCTGTCCAGAGACTGTCTGTGTTAGAGTCTCTCTAGGCACTTCCCTCACAGGTTTGGCAGACGAGTTGAAGGAGAGGATGCCGGCCTGGGCCAAGATGAAGAAGGAGAGTAAAGGACAGCTTGTGTTGGTAGATTTAGAAGTTTTTTGGAGCCGAGTAGGGGCCCTCATAGACTCAGGGGCTACCCGTAGTTATATCAGTAGGAAAGCGCTAAAGAAGTTGAGGCTAGGTATGAAAGTCCAAAACTTGGAAGACCCCATAGTTAGTATCCTCGCAGACAACCGCACAATGTCTGTTGAGGATTACGTCGAGGGAGTCCAAGCGTATCTGCGCTTAGAGAAAGATGGCAAGGTGGAGAAAGTTCTCCACTCTCTGACTCTCCTCGTAAAAGACAACCTCCCTTTTGATATAGTCCTAGGTATGGACTGGGGAGAGGCAGCAAGGGCCACAATCCACTTACGAGAGCATGAGTGTAGGCTCCCTAGTCCCTCAGGCGAGGTCAAGACTGCCTGTCTGTTCCATGTGTCAGGAGTGGATAACTCCCTGGCACATTGTTGTCTCAGTGCTCCCGCGTTCGCGCGAACGGGTCTTTGCAGCTTATGTGAGGTCTGTCATTGAGCCTACTAAAGAGAAACCAATAGACCCTGCGATTGCCAAGCTGCTGGAAGAGTTTAAAGATTTAGCAGAGCCGCCAACAGGAGTAGTATTGTGGCCAATCCGGCATAGGATCGAGATAGAGCCTGGCAGTAGAACTCCTAAGGGTGCAGTTTACAGGATGTCCCCACGGGAGTTAGAGGAGTTGCATAAGCAACTAGACGAACTCCTTGAAAAGGGTTGGATTAGGCTCAGTTCGTCTCCTTTCGGAGCACCCATTCTGTTTGTCCCCAAAAAGGAGGGAGAGTTGCATGTGTGCATCGACTATAGGGGTTTGAATGCCATTACAATGAAGAATGTTGAGCCACTGCCCAGGATAGACGATCTTTTAGATCGACTGCAGGCTGCAGATATTTCTCAAAAATAGATTTGAAGTCCGGATATCATCAGATAGAAGTTCATCCTGATGACCAGTATAAGGCTGCCTTTCGGACTAGATATGGGCATTATGAGTTCATAGTGATGCCCTTTGGACTGACCAATGCGCTAGCAACATTCCAACGTTGTATGAATGATGTGTTTAGGCCTTGGTTAGATAGATTCGTCGTAGTTTATCTAAACGATATATTAGTTTTCAGTAGGACCCTCCAAGAGCATAAGGGTTATTTGAGGAAGATCTTGGAGAAGCTAAGAGAGGCTAACTTCAAGATCAATGCGAAGAAGTGTGAGTGGGCCAAGACACAAGTCTTGTACTTGGGCCACGTCTTTAGACGGAGGTGGAATTAAGCCTGAGGATAGCAAGACAGCGGCGATTAGAGATTGGTCGACGCCCCACACGATGACAAAATTGCAGTCGTTTCTAGGCCTAGCTAATTATTATAGGAAGTTTGTGAGGAACTTCTCTACCATCGTCACTCCCCTTCGCAAGTTGCTCAAGAAAGATGCAATTTGGAAACGGGACAAAGATTGCGCATCCGCTCTTAAGAAGTTAAAGCGAGCGTTGGTAGAGTACCCTGTCCTCAAGGTTGCAGATCCGTCCTTGCCATTTGTCGTCGCCACGGATGCAAGTCAGTATGGTATAGGCGCCGTGTTGCAGCAGGATGACGACAATGGCTATAAACCCGTAGAGTTCATGTCAGCGAGGATGCCCTTAGAGAAAGTAGCTACCTCAACTTACAAGAGAGAACTCTACGCTCTCAGGCAGACCCTAGAGCACTAAAAACACTACCTACTTGGGAGACACTTCAAAGTTTATTCAGACCACGAGACTCTTAGGTGGCTGAAAACGCAGCCCAAAATGAGACTTAAGCTAACTAGGTGGACCGTTGAGATAAATTAGTATGACTTTGAGCTCAAACCAGTCCAGGGCAAGTATAATGTAGTTGCGGATGCTCTAAGTAGGAGATCGGACTACTTTTGAGCTATATCCGCATGACCCTATTCATAGTGACCTCCTCAAGAGAGTTAAGGAGTCCCAGAGACTGAACCAGATTATCGCACTACAAAGGGATTACATTTCGGGATTACTATTCAAAAAGACCAACGTAGTAGACCGTCTATGCATTCCTAACAGTGAGGAGATCCGTAGTTTGATCCGTGGGGAATGCCACGACATAAAGGGACATTTCGGTTGGCAAAAGACTCTAGCCAATTTGATGCATGCGTATACTTGGCTAGGAATCAAAGCCGATTACATCAAGCACGTTCACACTTGGAAAGTCTGTCAAAGGAATAAGACAACTACGCGTGCCCCTCTATGTCTTTTGTGACCCTTGCCTATACCTGATCAGCCTGGCGATTCAGTATCCATTAATTCCATTGATGCTAGCGTCAAAAGTAGACATGGAAAGAGCCAAGTCATGGTAATAGTGGATAGATTTAGCAAATACATTGTTTTTGTTCCCTTACCCGCAGAAGTTTGTGCAGAGTTAGTCATTTAGAAGTTTTTTGACTTTTGGGTTAGTGATCACGGGATCCCATTGTCCATAGTTAGTGATAAGGACACCCAGTTTACAAGTCAGAACTGACAGGAGTCAATGAGAGTATACGGCTCAAAGTTGTTGATGTCGTCTGGCCGTCACCGAGACTAACGGTCAGACAGAGCAGATGAATAAGATCCTGCAGCAAGTTCTGCGTATGTACATTACACCAGATCAAGTCAACTGGGACGAGATGTTGCCCAAGGTAGCCTGTGCATATAACAACACCGTGCACCTAACCACCTGTCGTACTCCCAATGAGTTGCAGAAGTCCTTTAGACCGCATTGACCGTTTGAAGGACTTATTCGGGACCAGATTCATAGGCTACCGTCCGGTACTAGGGAGTTTGCGATTCAGCACGAGAAGGAGTTAACTACCATTGTTGAGAACCTCAGGAAGGCCCAACACCGAATGATAGAGCAGGCTAACAAGCACCATCGCCCGTCACAGTTTCAAGTAAGCAACCTTGTCTGGGTCAAGTCTAAAGAGTTCGCTCCTGAGGAAAACATTTCGCAGAAGTTACTGCCAGCATACAGAGGACCGTGGGCAATCCTAGAAGTTAAGGGCGGGGAGGATGGACCATCCTATACGATAGAGATCCCAGCACACCTCCACATGTGTTCCATGCGTCAAAGTTGTTGTCGTGTGTCACAAGTCAACAGTTTCCATCAAGAAGATCCATGATCCCTCCGGACATGGATGCGAGATACGACATTGAGGGCATTGTAGGTGAAGACGTATTCAGAACAGGAGGTAGAGGTCGTCCTCAGAAACAGTGTAAGGTCCGATTTTGCGTATCAGGAACCCGAGGACGACCGCAGGTGTATTAGAACTGAACTACTAGAAACAACTCCCGACATAGTTAGAGCCTACGAGAGAGAGAGAAAAGGTAAAAATCCAGTCTTAGACTGAAATATTCTCGGAGGACCTCGAATTTAGGCCGGCGGGAGTGAAACGGTATTCACCTGTTAGCAGTAGCGAATGCAGATCCCAGGGCTCGATCCCTAGTTCTTACCTTACCTGTGTATAGTAAATGTGTCGACCCCGAGAGTTGAACCCGGGACCTGTGTAGTCGCAACAGTTGGTAGGCTGTCGTAGGTCCGTAGGTGGTACGGGTTTGATCTGTAGACTTGTCGAGCAAAGGTCTTAGCAAGTTCTAGAAGTCGTAGTTGTAGCCCTTCTGAAAGGTCAAGTTCGTAGCTGCTACAGTCCTGAAAGGTCAAGGTCGTAGCTGCTACAGTGTTGAAGGGCCAGGTCCACAGACTTCCGGAAGGTCAGGAAGTGGCCCTTCCAACGTTGCTCACAGTAGACTGGAGGCAAGTGGGCAAGTGGTGAAGTCCACCCTTGCTGAGTCAGTGGTACCGGTCCCAGTCAGTCCGAGTCCAGTCAAGTTGTATGGGACTGTGTGCACCAAGGGCATGGGAAAGGGGCAGACCAACGAGTTACAGAAGTATAAATCAACAGGCAGCACCCAGCCATTCACTCACTCCTGCGTAAGCCATGCGGAAGCGCTGCTTGAGCGACTTGTGCGAGGTGGTCTGCAGAGTGCCCGAAGACGAAGTGGGCTGAAGGGATATTTAGCCATAGTTAGTAAGGGTCAGCGGCCATTGCTGCCATAGTTGATAGACGAGTGTGTTAGTAGTAATGTGTACGTGTGCGTGTGGGATATCCAAGGTGATCCGAAGTTGAGCAAGTGTGAACAGTGGTGTTGCACAGAGAGACGAGAGTTGGGGTGTACAGGCGCCGATGCGCCATAGCCTGTTGAACTGTGTTTTCGACTTCCATAGCTTGTATCTGAACTGTGTTTTCGACTTCCATATCTCTGAGCTTTGAGTGGGCGCTTTGCGCCAGTGTGTCTCACCATCTGTTTGCATGAGTGCAGAGTGGAAAAAAAAAGCGAGTCTGATTGCATTACTCACGATCTATTGGTTTAGAGAAAATCCACATTTCGGGTGTTTTCTACTACTGAACTGGCTGGCAGCGATGACATAGTGCAGATGCAAAAAGGGCTCTTGCCTTTCTGTGAAGTATGCAACCTTGGTTGTGTGGTAGAAGATAAACATCAGATTCTGGGTTACTACCTGTATAGCATGTAAAACAACTAATACGGGAAAAATGGAAAGCGGAGAACATTCTACCTACCGTGGACAAAAGGAGGGACACTATTGGGAACCACACTTATACGTGCGCATACGAAACCCTTTGAGTGATGGTGATGTGGGCCATTTGGAGGAAAAGAAATGATGTGCTCCGAAACGCGGGTACACCATCAGTCCTACAGGTTCTCCCCCACTACATTCACAAGGCCCTCCACCATATTATCCTTTTGGATGGGACAGAGAAGATTAGAACGGCAGATTCTCTTTCAAGCTGGAGTCGAGTGGTTCGCAGGGAGCCTGGGGGAGGGGCTGGTAGCTGGTCATGGGAGGCTGTCTTATTCTTCAGAAGTAGGGTGTAGCTGCTAGGGAAACAAGAGTGATCTAGCGGTCTGGTGCAGGGTGAAGAGGCGGCTCCACGCCCCAAAGTGTGCTGTTGTCAAACACATTTATCATTA